GAGGGCACACTCTGCTCCTGCTATGCAAGGTGGTTTCACTCTGCTCTTAGAAAAATGGGACCAGGGCATGTGATATGACATTCACAAAGTGTCCAGGGACAGCTGGGAGGGTTCATGCTTTGTACTCTGGCAGCCTCAATTGGGCCTGGACTCTTGCACCCCCTGGTGGCTGACAGGAGCGAAGAAAGTATATTAATTATACTGCCCGCTCTGAAAATGTGCTTGAAGGGGCCAAGAGCTAACATAAGTCCAGGAAGGTGCAAGGCACTCCATGGGGCCTTGGGTAATGATGTTTGAAAATCCCACGGCCCTGAGCACATCTGAAGTCGCTTGAGCAGGGCTTACAGAGGGCAGTGCATGCTGAAATAAACGACTGCATGGCTGGCCGAGGGAGTGGACTGATGGAAAGAGAACGCCCTCCAATGACCGACGAGGGCAGTACAACACTTAAGATTTAAAAAAAAAAAGGGGGGGCTACGTGAAGCTCTACACCCCTCCTCCCAGAGAGGCAAACATCGGGAGTGGAATGGGGGACACAGGAAGGGCCTGCTTTTTAGTGCTAGGTGGGCTTCTTTTTTAGTTACCTTATCTCCTGGACCATGTCAAGTCCTTAGGTTCCACTGCAGCCCCAGGGCCAACTAGGGGGGGCCGAGGGATGTCCCTGGTCCTTGCCATCCCTCTCCCCCAGGCACTCCTCAACACCAAGCTGAGGGAGCCTGCAGTGCAGTGGATCTAGGATCAATGTTGCCACACCCTAAACATTATTCTGTTCCTGGTCTCTTTTACAAAAACAAAGGATTCTGGGCCTAAAATCCTGGCAAACGGCCAAAGATTCTTCCTCAGTCAACCACAGAAATTAAGTCAAATTTCTGCAAAAATGGTAATTTATGGGCTCATAAAAGCAACTGGCCAGTATCAGGTACAGTTGGATCCAGGGACCCATAACATATTCGCAGGAAGCTTGCCCCTAATTCTCCAGCCAATCAAATCCTTCTTATACTTGTTCAGTCCTGTGGGGGAAAAAATGATGCCAGTCTCATGCTTCTTGAATGTTCAAGTAAAGACCTCCTGTCCTAAGACTGTATCGAGAACCAATCACCGTGTCCTGAAATGTTGAGAGCTGAATGGCCAGGTCCACGTCCACCTTGAAGTTAGTGTGGCTTCAGCACATGGTCAGAGCACCTTGGCTCATGGCAGAATGAAGATGTCCACCACAGCTGACAGAGGTGAGCCCAGGAAATACAGGGAGGAACCAGAGAAGGCCGGTGCCAGGCTCGACATCACAGTGCCACCACAGAGCTTGGGACCCCACAGGCACAGGTCTGCTCTTTCTGCATGAGGAAAACGCCTGCTTGATGAGGCTGTGAGGACGGAAGGCACAGTGTACAGCACAGAGGGAAGTGGACCAGTCACAGGGATTAAAGAGTTCAGTAGCAGCAGAACCGGTCTCGGACAGAAAGAAGTAGGAACGTTCATCCGAGCCGATGCTGCACTGGAGAGCCACAGCTGTGGGTTGGATGGAGGAGCAAGGGGACAGGATCAGTGAGGTCTGAGAGGCAGAACCAGAGTCCTTTGTCTAGGGGCACTGAGGAGACCTGGAGGAGTCCCTGGCAGACCTGGGACTGGAGCTTCATTTCATAAGGCTCCAGTTAGGGCTAGTGTGAGGAGATAAACTCAAAGGTCCAGGTGCAAATCTGAGCACTTGCAGCCATGAGCAAGGACCCTGAGCTGGCTGTCTTCTCTCTCTGAGTTTCAGTTTCCTCTTGAGTAAAAAGGTAAATCAGTCAAATGGACAAATACAACGAGCCCTCACTGTGAACAGGTAGGTGAGAGCCAAGGCCCACAGAAGCTGAGACTTGATCCCAGGACCTAGCCCCACGAAAGCTGCAGATGATGTTGAGGGGGCAGGCAGCCAGAAAGGCAGGAAGGCTCTGAGTTGGGGGAGCCGAGAAGCAATTCTGGGGAGTTGTAAAGGGGAAAGTGGAAAAGAGGAGAGAGCTGGATGATAGGTACAGTCACAGGCGCTGTGAAGGAGGTAGAGAAGACAGCAGGACTGGCTCACTGGTACAAAGCCACAGCTGATGTCCTTGAAGATCAAGAGTGGTGAAGCCCGATCAGAAAACTAACCAGAGTCTGTGGAGCATAGTGCAGGCCTGGTAATCTGGTGATGGGGGGGGGGGTCTCCTGGATGCCACTAGACCCACCCCTTCCCTTGACCTGGAAGGATGCTTCCCCACCCCTATCCTAGAGGTAAGCCTAGCATACAGCAAGTGCTCATTAAGTGCTCACTTACTAACTGGGATGCTCACTACATTCCACGGAAGGAGTGAGGTTTGTTAAAAATGATCACTAACTGAAAACTCCTTGGGCTCTTCCAGGCTACAGCTTTGAAAGGCTGGGAATGAGGGGCGGCCTCAGCCCACGCTTCCCTCTCATCCTTTCCGAGCACCACTGGATGGCAGAGAGGACAATCACAGCATCTGAGGCAGGGCCCCTCTATCTTGCCAGTATCTTGCCTTCACAGGCAGACGACCAGAACCAGCACTGCACCTTCCACACAAGGTCGACCACACGCACTTCCCAGCACCCAGGCCGCGGTGCTGAGCTTGGTGCATGACCGGCTCTGACAACAGCAAATGTGACACAATCTGAGGCGAGGTCAGTACATGTGCACTAGAGCCACCCTCTTGGTGGCTGGCTTCCACCAGAAGTACTGGCTAGCCTGAAGGAGGCCTTGTGGGAAAACTGAAGCCACCACTGCAGCTGACAGCTCAGGGCCCAAGCCAGGCAGCTCCAGTAGCAGCATATGGATGACCTGGTGAGAACTGTCCAGAGGAGCTGGCCTATACCGCCCACACGAGAGCCCAAGAAATCACCAGCACTCTCAATCACTACAATCAGGCCCTTTCTGTCCTGAAGCAACAGCTGACTGTACACAGCGACCCACATCACTCCACATCATGCCCTCTCGGCCACGTGGTGAGCGGCTCTCACAGAGAAAAGTGCATCTACAGAGGAGGTGATGGCTCGGAGTTCACACGTGGTTCACACAGTGGTGGCAAGAGCTTCAAGTACAGCCTGAATGCTCCTTAGTAAGGACGGCAGGATTTCTCATATTGTCTTGTTATCAGGAGGGAACTGTCCCTGGAGAAGGGCACCAAGCGCAGTCCAGCAGGTCAGTGGAAAGCAGACAGACTCTCAATGAGGGTTTGATTCAGTGGCTGCCACATGGGACCCAATAGAACAGTAACCGAGGACAGTGCAGGACTGAATGGCTCTGTTCTGCTGTACATGGGTCACCATGAGCTAGAATTGACTCAATCGCATCTAAGAACCACATACCCGTGGGGTGTAATCCTGTTTGGAGAAAGGCTGGGCCACTATTCAATCTAATCACCGCTGAGCTATGATATGAGACCCAGAGGCAGACAGAAACTGGGCTTTCCACAAGCCAAGACACCAAGGAGCTCCAGAGCGACCAACGAGGAAGGAACCCACGTGGCTAAGATCGTGATTTGGACTGTCAGCCTCAACAAGTGTGAACCAGTACACATCTGCTCTTTCAAACCACACCCTCCCCATATGCGTGTTTTGGCAGCACTGGGAGACCAAGACCACGGGCATACACTGTGCCAGGTTTTGAGGACTGTAGGCGTGTCCAACGTCCCTGTATGCAACACCGGGGAAAGTGGGCTCCCCTCTCAGTCCTAGTGGGGACCTTGAATCAGGACAGGCCTGCGGACAAGAGTGAGGTGTGGGTTAGGGGGTAGGGAGATAGACTGAGAATGTCCCGAAACATAGAGGACACAGAGCAGGCTACTGGGTTACAGATGTCCCCACCATCTCCTGTGATAACAGCACATCCCCAAGGAGAGCCCAAGCCTGAGTGATCATATGAGCAAAGACATTGGTGAAAGGTTAGTCCAGAGCAGGCGAGGCCCCAGCCCTCCTTCAGCACTGACCTGGTCGGGGAGGCCAGGCACGTCTAGTCTCTTCTGGAATCTGGCTGAGAGGGTGGGGGTGGCTCCTTGGGGCTGGAACAAAACACGGCAGCACCCATCAGCAAACTCCGTGCCCAATCTTGTGGACACCCACAGAGGAGCTAAGGGAGGCACCGAGCTGCTGCCAAAGCTGCCAGGACACACATCACACGTCTGCAGAATCAGGTCCCAAGAGGAAACTGATGGCACGGAGGGACCATGAGTGACAGGGCCTGCTGTGCTGGTCCTGGTGCAGCTAGTTTTATGCCTTTTGCTGTCACAGGCCCTTCCTACAGAGCTGCCCGAAGCCACACCTCTGGTAAATATGTTCCCTTCCAGAAAGGATGCTCACACCCTTTATACTGTGGATGTTTTTGTGGAGGCAGAGAACAAGTAGGTCAGGACCCAGTGCCATCCAGCAGGCACACTCCCCGGTGAGCTCACGGCCATCTGTGCCAGCCAGTGTGCCTGGAAGCGTGTGTGCACTCAGATGCACGTTTATTAGGTCATGGTGAACAGAAGAGCTGCTTTTCCAGAATCCTTCTCTGCAGAGTAGGAGGCCTGGGGGTGCCTTGGTTTGCAGCTGCCAAGACCCAGAGTGTAGCAACCTCCACCCGAGTTGAAAGCAGAGTGGTCTCATTGCACTTGTGGCCGTACCCCTCCAGACCCATCCTTGTCTTCCTGACCCACCCACATTCCTCCAACATATTCAGTTCATCTGGCCCAAGGGCCTAGAGGCCTTCCGTTTTCCAGTGCCCAGAGCCCTGCTGCCACCAGCTCCCTGTCCCTGTCGTCCAAGCGTCAACTATTTCTCAGAAGTCCCAACCCCAAATTCCACCTTCTTCTGCAGCAACTACAGTGCTCTCAATGGTCACATGTTTACCGGATGTCATGCTTCCCCACCCCAACCGTGCTGTTTCAGCCCTACGGGTTCCCAGGGCCCATCGAGGGCTCAGTACAAGGCAGAGCTCAGTTCTCTCCTGTGACAGGTACCAAAGGACAAGTGGAAATGGGAAAGGGCAGCTCCTGGGTGATGGTCCTCACAGCACAGTGGCAGTGGCAGCAGGCGCCAGGGACTACCTGTGGCCCTGGGCAGCAGAGGCGTTCATGTGGTCCCGGATGCTGATAGCCTGTCTGAGCAGCCCCTCGACGCTGCGGAAGTAGACACTGCTGTCCACAAGGTTCTTCACTGCGCTGAAACAGGAGGCCAGCTGGGGTTAGGTGGGGTGAAGCTCCCAACACCCCCTGGGGTTCCACAGGGTGCAAACACCTAATCCTGAGCAGCAGACACCCTGTGAGCTGGGGCTTTACCCCCACATACTCAGAAAGCATCCTTCCAGTAGACTGTGAGGGTAGTCTCAGCCTTTGCCTCCCTGGACATGCAGCTTTATGGACCCTGTTAAGGGTCCATATTTTGGCAAAAAGCTCACCAATAAGCTAACTCTTAACTATTTAATGCTGACCATGAAATTTTAAGACCTCTTATTTTTAACCACTTGGCAAATTTAAAATGTTCTCACACTAAAGAAATGGCTCCCAGTCCAGTTCAGCACTGTCCAATTGACCGCTTCTCCATCAAGTACATTTTGGCTACACTGCCTACTCAGAGGAGACCTAAGCTTTTGAAATATAGCTTATATAAGGAAGAAACAAAATCTTTTCTTTTATTTAAATAAAATTAAGGGTCTTTTGTTCATAGGGTCATTATGAATCATCTACGACTCGACGGCACCTAACAACAATAACAACGAGAACATAGAGAGAGCTCTGTTGGCTTAGTGGACAGAAAGTTATGCTACCAAGCCCAAGGTGAGTGATTTTAATCTGTGGCCCTCAGGCCTGGTTCAAACTGTTGTGTTGTTTTTTTTTTTCAAACATTCTTCTAGATGGTATAGCACTGGTCTGTGCATTGCTGTACAGAGGGAACTTGTAGGTGCTGTGATGCTGAACACTGTGACACTGATGTGCCAAATGTGATAATGGTAATCCATGGTGGACAGTGTTTGTGGAGCTTCCTGATTAAAACAAGCTTGGAAGCAGGAGTGGCATCCATTTCCAAAATGGCTTGTCTCCAGAAACTCTACGAACAGTATTCAGGTCTTTCATTCATAGGGTCGCTACGACTCCATGGCACCTGCTCCTGCCCTATCTCTAGAGACGCCAACAACTTTCTTTAACCTCCCATCTTGCTTTCGAGCTTGAAGGGACCAGGGCTAGGGGTGGCAGAATACCCATCCTTGCCCAAAGCACCAGGTCTTCTTACCTAGGACCCTTTAGCATCTCATCAAACACAAAAGGCAAATGAAGCTAAACCTGAACGACAAGAGCTACCAGGGTAGTGTTCTCCCTCCCATGGAAAAATCCCTTCACGGACAGGCTTCTGTGAAGGCAAACAGCACCTCACAACACAGCCAGCCAACTCAGGGTTCTGAAGAGTTTGTCCCAGGTTTACAGGACAGCCCTGTGGTCACAAAAAAGAAACTCCAGGGCATGGTGAGATAATCCCTGGGTGTGACGGGGAGGCCCTGGTAGCTCAGGGAGGCTGAGCACTCACCTGCAAGCATACTCCACTGTGTAGATGGCCCCTTGGCTCTGCTCCTCCCACCGCTGCATGTCAGCCTGCAGGGAGGAGGTGTGACAAGAGGGGTCACTGATGGAGGGGAAACACTGTGGTCAGAGAGCCCTCCAGCCCAGATCTTCCTCTGAAGCTCCCCTCCCTCACCATCTAGGTCTTCTGTGCCTTCCTTCTGCCTGTCCCATCTCCTTTTCAACTCACAGGTCTGTTTCCACAGGGCAACCTGGCTTGACCAGGGTTCCCCTTGCAGAAGACCTAACTGACCGCCATAGTCCATGCTCTGCGCAAAGAGCGGCTCTCCTGTCCTGGCTTCAGTGGTGTATGGGAGGGGTCCATGATGAGGAGGGGTCCACGGTGGGTGGGAGCTCACCTTGTGCTGGGCCAGCTCAGGCAGGGAGCGACGCACATGCTCCTGCAGCCGGTACAGGGCCACCGACGGCTCGTTGGCCAGCACGTACACGCTCTCGGTGAATTTGTCTGTGACTATGTCCAAGTCCCGAGGACAGCCAAGCAGGGACGGGGCAAACAAGAGGACAAAGTATCAGAACCACACTTACCAACTTGTGTACCAGCCAGAGGGGAGCAGAGAGTGAGGCACCACCGACCAGCTGGGTCACCACAGCCCTGGTAGTTGACTGGCGCCCTTCTAGGAGCTCGAGACCAAGACCTCAACCAGGAGGTCAACGTTTCCAGTGAACCTGAATCCTTCCCCTCCCAAACCCACGTGAAATGGACACACTAGTGCAATGGACACACTAGTGCCTCTGTTTCCTCAAGCTCTGCTCTTCTCCAGAGGACCTAACATGAACCTAAGATGCCTGTGTACTCACAGCTAGTGGCTCTCAGTCACAGCTGACGACACGAGGGAGCACAGCCCAGTTTCAGCACAGAGCTGTGACCTGCTCTCCCAAGTTCCTCCAGAGGATTTCATCCAAAGTTGCCTTTGCTCACCCTCCTCCCTGACTTGCCACACTCTTGCTGTGCCCTGAACCTTCTGGTAAATTAACACGTTGCCACACACTTAAATTGACTACCGTGCTTAGAAACACAATTTTTTTGGCCGTCATTTGCGGCAACGTGTTAATGATACACAACTCTCATCGCAGGGTCAGCGTCAACAAACCTATCTATCCTCCCAGTTGTCCTCAGCCCTCTCCGCCCCTGCCCTACCTATCCCAACTCTGAGCAGACTGTGCTTGTTGGCAGAAAACAAAATGCAAATTTCACTTCTGCATATGCACCACTTCACTGGTCCAGGCTCTGCCGCCTCCCACCTGGCTGCCAGCCCAGCCTCCTCCCTAGTCTGTTGCTGCTCTTGCCCCAACAGCAAGGTCTCCACACAGAGCAAGGTCCTCCTAACAACACACCAAGTCTGTCACTCCCTTACTTGAACCTCTCTCATGGCTCCCACCAGTCCCATCTTCCTTACTGCCACTCACATGGTCCTACATGTGCAAACACTTCATTTCTGACCTCTTGCCCTCCTCTCGCTCTACCCAGGGCTACAGGGCCTCCTGGCCTCAGACACTGTCAGCATAGAACTTTCTAAGGTATTGGAAATGTCCTATAATCTGCATTGTCCACTAGGGACACAGGTGACTACTGAGCATCTGAAAAGTGACTAAGTGACTGAAGAACTGTATTTTCAGTAATGTGCTTTGTATCTGAGAACTGGAAAATGAATAAGGATGACAAAAGAAAAAGTAATGCCTTTTTTTTTTATTTTATTATATTTGTGTGAGTGTACCATCAAATCAGATCTGACTGGTACAGGAGGAGATTGTCCCTCCTTCCCCGGCAGAGCATCTGGTGGATTCGAACCATGCAGCTCTGGGATTGTAGTTGCTGCTCCTTACCACTAGGCCACCAGAGCTCCCCTAAATTAATGCCTTTGTACTGTGGTGTTAGAGAAGAGTACTGAATATTCCATGGTCTCCCAAAAGAATCAACAGATGTAACTTGGGAGAAGAGGCAGCCAGAATGCTCCTTGAAGGCAAAACAAAAAAGCTTTGTCTCATATACTTTAGCCATGCTGCTAGGAGAGGCTACTCCTTGGAGAAGGGCATCATGCTTGGAAAGGTGAGCGGACAGTGAAGGAGAAGAAGACCCTCGAGTAGGTGGATTGACACAGTGACTGCAGCAATGTGCTTGTGTATGTCAGAGACTGTGAGTATGGCACAGGACAGGACAGGATCCGTATCTGTAGTTCATAGGGTTGCTATGAATCAAACTAACAGCAACCACCAACAGACTTCCAATAATTTAAAACTAAATACTGATCTGTGGCCAGTGGTGACTGTTAGGGAAAATACTTCCAAACTCTTTCTCACGAGCCTTTGTACCTATTGACTCCACTTCTGAAATACCATCCTATCTCTTTCCACACTAGCTCCTCGTCCTCCTCCTAAGTTTCAACTCAAAAGTCACCTCTTTGAAGAGTCCAAGCTGTAGGTTCTTCTTATATGTACTTGAATTATGTGTTTACAAATACATTAAGCTTGGGTTCATCATGGTAGGGGCATGTTAGTCTCAGTTTCCTCATCTGTGAAAAGGTCATAACCACATGCCACACAGTCATGTACAGTTAGAAAACCACAGCTGAGTTTTGTATAGGGAGGAAACTAGGCGTGCTTGAGATCCAAAGGAGGCTGCCTCTTTTGGGGACGTCTGCCTTTCCAGATACATTGCAACTGACAGTCTACAATACTCACCAATCTCTGCAAAACCATCCTGCATACCCAAGTTGTGTGAGTCATTCTCCTCATAGGTCTAAGTCTCTGGGAGGGAGACCTTCCACCAAATCACCAAACCCAAAGGACATAGAGGAGTGAGGGAACTGAACAAAGGAGGGACTGATCACGGAGTTACACAGCAAAGAAAATACGGGGAACAATATTGACTCTGTACTTCTTATAATCAATCGGTCCGTTCTAATCTTAGAAGAATGAATTATTAATATAACTGGTACTCATAGGTATTATCAAAGGAGGCTGCCCAGCGAACTGCTGTGCCCTCAATAAGGCGTATCCTGGCCTTAGACTTCCTTATCTTTGTCTTGAAAATGAGCATACAGCTCTCAGGGCTGCTGCGAAGGAGGGAGGCTAGATATGTATCTGCGCTTCCTAAATAATCGACTAGTGAGACAGAGGCATATAGTTTACAAAATGGTTTGTATTTGGTATGTTATGTCTAAACAAATGTAAATGTACGAAGAGATAAAAAGCAAAACACACAATGACTGGCACGCACATACACACATACCCTTTGACATATCAAGTTAGTGAAATCTCACAACAATCTTAGGTGTAACGGGGACATTACTTCTTCCATTTTACAGAAGACATAATCAAGACGTGAATTCCCAAGGACTGGGATTCCAGGGCAGCTCAATAATGGGCTCCCGCCCTCTCTCCCCGCGGAAGTCCCTCCTGCCTTTCTCAGTTCCTCACCCCGCGAGTTACCCTCATGTGGCCCTCTCCATCCCACGGGGGACCCCACACCACCTTTCTTCCCCTTGAGTTGCATCTCGGGCTCCTCCATAGCCACTGCTGCCGATGGAGTCCACCTCGGGACCGGAACCGGAAGACCGGAGGCGAGAAGGTCTACGTTAGTTTTTTCCCCTGCGGAAACCGGGCTCCGCGCTGCTGGGGTTCCGAGGTTCGTTGACCTGCTTTTCTCGCCGCTCCGTCTCCCGGGACAGGAGAGCAGCTGTGAGTGGGACGGAGCGCCACTAGCACGCTTCAGGTGGGTGAGGAGGGGAGAGAAAATCCTTGAGATTTTAGGAGAAAGCTCAAGCGGAGAGGCAGGAGCCTCTTCCTTTGCAGGGCTGTATTTTCTGGGACAGAGAAGTTGGGGGATCCGCCACACTATCCGCTTCGGGCCCTGAGAACGCATTTGTATGTCAGCTGCAGCTGCCAAGTCCCAGCAATTGTCTCCTGGGATTACAGAGGAGAAATTGTGATGGGAGGGGGCGGTAATGTGTACATGGCTCCTTTAAGTCCCGCAAGCCCTACGTACTTCTTCCTACCCTCCCACCCGAGGAGAGCTTTGCCCACGCCTCCAAAAGGGAAACCTTTTGACTCCTTTTAGTCAAATCTTTGGGCTGAACTTGGCAGGAGAGCGACATCTGGAAAACCTTGAACCCTCCCGCTTACGCTTTCCTAGCTGCTGGGGGCAGGGACGCGCAGGCGCAGCAGTGTTCCTCGGAGGTCTCAGCGGAAGCCACGCCCCTTCCCTCGAGTGTTAAAGGACCAGACCAAGAGCTGAAGCTCGGGTTTTTCCGCACTTTTGGGGGACGGAGGTGCGCAAGCGCAGTGGGGGCGTTATGGGGTGGGGGTAGGGGCCGCGTATCAAGTTGCTCTGTCCCGGCAGAAGAAGCCTAGGCGCTGCGTCTTCAGCCCACAACTCCTATATCAAGTGGAGAAGAAAGTTTCTGAATTGAGCCCCCAAGTTTTGGGGACCCTGGCTTGAGGCGCGGGGGGGCCAGAAGTGACTCGTGAGGAGGTAAGTTGACCTCCTGAATCAGGTAGGGCAAAGTGGATGGGAGTGGAGCCAGTCACCTCTGTGTTGAGCTCTAACTCATTCTGACCTCCCAAAATAACCCCAGTGAGCATTTATTAAACTCTACTGGTCAGTCGTGTCCCCCGATTTCTTGTAGGCCTCATTTTATTATTTACAAAACTAAAGCACAAAGGAATTATGTCATGCATTCAAGTTCTGGAGGTGGTAGGGGGAGGAATTCCAGCCCACAGAGCTCGACTTGAGGAGGAGGTTGAATGTTGGAGGTTTAAAGGAGAAAGGAGACTGGAAAGATGGTGGGTCCAGGTTTTCATGTCCTCGCTCTGCTACATTCTGGCAATTGTGCTGATTGTCAATTTACGTATCTTCACAGTACAATACTAGAAACGCAGGCTGTGTCAGCTTGAGGGCTGTTGATAATTACTGTCATGTTTCTCCTCCGGGTTGGCCTCTAGCTTCCTGCATGGAACCCATCCAGACAGCAGATGACCTCAGCCCGGCCCAGCAGCCCCCTGCCCCAGAACCTGGGGACCTGGAAGAACTCAAGGAAGAGACACCCGATGGCTCAGACACGGTGGTCCTCAGCCTCTTCCCATGCACTCCAGAGCCTGGGAACCCTGAAACGGACACTGGGGTCCCCTCGCCCCAGGGTAGGACCTCTCTTGTATGCTCAGCCCACTGAGATGCATATGCTGATGGGGGGAAGTGAAATGTAGCAACAGAAACAAGATTCGTCTTTGTGGTCTATTCTTTCCAATCCACTCAGCACTCATCCACTCTCATTACCATTGAGTGGGAACCAAGTGATAGCTGACTCTAGCAGGTTTTCAGAGGCTATAAATCACTGCTGGAAGATTTGAACCACCAGAGAGCAGCCACCTTTGAGCAGCACAGCCCCCCCCTTACAGGCTAAATACAGACCTATCAGAGCTCCCTTAATTCCATATAGGGATACTTATTTCATTTCACCTTTTAAAATGGTGGTAAACAACAATGTGAAATTTACGTTCGCCTTCTTAAAAGTGAATAGTTAAGTGGCATCTGGAATGTTCACTGTTATACCACTACCACCACTTTATAGCTCCAGAAAATTCTCATTACCCAAAAAAGAAATGCTATACACATTAGCACTCTGCCTTTTCCCTTCCGCGACCTCAGATAGCGCTAATCCATTTGCTATCCCCGGTTTTGCCTGTTCTGGACATGTCGTGTAAATAGAATCCTACCTTATGTGCCCTCGCTCTGTCTTACAAGGAAACAGAGTCGGAACAACTTAATGGCAAAAGGCTTTGAGCATAATTTCTCACAGTTCAGACATGGCATTGCATGTATTAAAGCTTGATTTTTTTTTTAATGGCTGAATAAGAAACATTGTATGTTTACCTAGTGATAGACTTTAGGCTGTTTCTACATTTGGTAATATAATACTGCTGTGAACATTTGTGTACAAAGATTTTTTTGTGGAGACCTTTTTTTTTTACTGCATTAGGAAGACTAGAATTGCCGGGTCATATGGTAGTCTTATGTTTAGCTTTCTGAGGAGTTGAGAATTTGAGTGGAGTCCTTGAATATGTCTGATTCACTCCACCCCAGGGCCTTTGCACTTGCTGTTCTGGCTGCCTTGGAAACTCTTCCCTTTTCATGTGCCTGGCTTTTTTCTTACCCTCTTCTCAGTTGGTATCCTCTCCTCAAAGACAAAGCTTCCTCACATACTTTGGGCATGTTGTTAGGAGAGGCTATTCCTTGCAGAGGGACATCCTGCTTGGAAAGGTGGAGGGTTGGCAAAAGAGAGGGAGACCCTCAACCAGATGGACTGATACAGGGACTGCAGAAGTGGGCTCAAATGGATCCATGATGATGACGATGGCACAGGACAGGGCAGGGTCGAGATCTGTTGTTCACAGGGTCACTATGAGTCATACTGGGCTCAGTAGCACCCAACAACAACAGTAAACCTCAGAGATGCATTTCTTGAAAACCTCACATAAAATAGAATCCCCTTCTGCCTGGCAGCCCTTCTGCCACCTTGTGCCTGTTTCTCCTTTTGTTTGAGCACTGTTTCAGCTTTTAGGTTTTTTCCTGTTTCTCTGACTCCTTTGCCCATGGCTCCCTGGAAGGAGGACCTCTGACTTGTTTGTCTGGCACATGGCTTGGCCCCGAGGAGAAAATGACCCCTGGTTATCTGAGATGGGGGTGGGTGAATAGTGGGGTCTTAAGCACAGTCTTAAGAACTCCAAACTCTCAGGGTTTTCCTCAAAGACACACGGAGAGGACGCTGACACCACTCCTCTTGCCCAGCAGGCAGCTCTCTGAAGCACTCCACGACCCTCACCAACCGGCAACGCGGGAACGAGGTCTCAGCCCTGCCGGCCACTCTGGACTGTGAGTGGGGCCCAAGGTCCCCGGGGTCAGTTACAGACAGGGTTGAGAGGAACCCTTTTGGACAGGGGTAAACGGAGACCCAGGGAGGGATGGGACAAGTGAGAACGTCCTGTGACTCTTCAGTGGGTTTTCTTCCTCTCTCTGGCCTCCAGCCCTGTCCATTCACCAGCTCGCAGCCCAGGGGGAGCTGAGCCAACTGAAGGAACACTTGAGGAAAGGTGTGTCCACACGCATGTGCTGGTATGTTCAGTGTGTGATGATGCACTGAGGTCTGTCTGCACACCTGGGCTGTGTTCACACGTTTGCTGTGTGTCCACCTCTGGATACAGGGATGACCTCTGTGTCAGTGTGTTCCTGGGTGTGTTCACATGTGCGAGATGGAGCTTCTATCTACATGTCTCCCTCCGTCCCTCTCTCCTTCCATGGTCTCTGTGTCTGAGCCCAGCCCCTGCCTTTTCCTGTAGGGGACAACCTAGTCAACAAGCCAGATGAGCGGGGCTTCACCCCCCTCATCTGGGCCTCGGCCTTTGGTGAGATTGAAACCGTCCGATTCTTGCTCGAGTGGGTAGGTCTACATGCAGCTGGGGATCCCGGAGACCTGTGGGCGGGCAGGGCAGGGGTTGGGGCTATCAGCTCCATCTGCTGGGGTTGTCGGGGGTATCCCCCTGGATCCCTGAGATGCCATGTAGCCCCTTTTCTCACCACCTTTATACTCTCTACCCCTCCACCCCCCCTTCTTATCACCCTGTGCCCTCAGGGGGCTGACCCACACATCTTGGCCAAGGAGCGGGAGAGCGCCCTGTCACTGGCCAGCACTGGTGGCTACACTGATATTGTGGGACTGCTCCTGGAGCGAGACGTGGACATCAACATCTATGACTGGGTGAGGGGCCACCCTGCCTTCTGTCCGAGATTCCTGCCCACTACCTGCCCACCTTGCTGCTCTGGCTTCTACCTCACTGGTCCAGGGCTCCACGACTGAGCATCTACTTGGGCCCAGCCCTGCAGTGGGAGCAAGACAAACTTGACCTTGAGCTCCCAGTTGAGAGGGAGACGCAGTAACAGGCAGCTCTGTTAGAGTTGATGGCATTGGGATGGGCAGGGCGCAGGCAGCTGCTGGCTCTCAGAGGCGCTCATCTGGTGATGGAGGTCAGGGATGGCTTCCTGCAGGTAGATATGTCTGTTCTGAGCCCTGAGAGAAGAGACAAGACGGCTGGCTGACAAGCAGGGATGAACTATGGTAGCTTAGAGACCAGAGTGTATGGGGCATCCTGGGAAACAAAGGCTCATCTTCTCCCCACTGCCCCCAGAATGGAGGGACCCCTCTGCTGTATGCCGTTCGGGGGAACCACGTGAAGTGTGTGGAAGCCTTGCTGGGTGAGTGAGCCCAGAGCTAAGGGCAGGGGGGTTGGAAGTGCCACAGCTCCACTCAAACTGGCTTGGGTGAAAGGAGGTTGGAGATGGCAGGGTTGGGGGACGTCTAGTCAATGGGGCTGAGCTCAGTCCGTGGTGACAGGGGGATCACTGGACTTCTGCATTCTGGGCTTCTCGCCCGAGTGCATCCTCATCTGGCACCCCTTAGGCCCTAATCACGTATTTTTCCAGTCCTCCGGTCTAGTGCCCCACCAGTCCTCCCTGTTGCTGTCATGGAGTTGGAACCTACTCAGAGCTCACTCCAGTGGGCTTTTAGAGGCAGTTAATTACATGCAGAGTGTCTGTCCTTTTCTCACAGGGCAGCTGGTGGATTTGAACCACCCAGCCTCTAATCAGTTACTTTTCCAGTCCTCCGATCTAGTGCCCATCAGTCCTCCCTGACTCCCCAGTATGACCTATTCCTGTGGCTGACCCTCCCCCAGTGCTGTCATCCCCCCCCAGCCCCTCTATACTCCCACCCGTCTCTGGCCCCCCGCAACCTTCCTCCATCTGTCCCTGCTCTGATTCCAGCCCGAGGAGCTGACCTAACCACAGAGGCTGACTCTGGGTACACCCCGATGGACCTGGCCGTGGCCCTAGGGTATCGAAAAGGTTAGTTGGAGACATGTGCAGCTGTGATGGGATGCTGTAGATGGGTGACCACAGAGAGGTACGTCAGACGCCCCACCTAGGCATTCAGAGCAAGCCATGTCAGCAAGCATTGAGTGCTTGCTGTGTATTGGAACCCACAGGCCTGAGTAGGTTGAGGAAGAGAGGTAGGTGATGGGGGACATACAGCCAACAAGAAGGCCTGGCTTAGCCAGATTCAGGTAGATGGGGGCTCTCTGCATCCCAAGCAGGAGTTAGCCAAGAAAAGTGATGACCGTGGTTCCAGCAGGAAGAAAGCCCAGGAAAGGCCTAGAGAGTGAAATGCTTTTTCTGTTGAGGTGTTTTATTCCAGTCGGGGAGAAACTATCGCCACAGCCCTCTGATTTTTCATAAAGGTCACAGCGTGCCAATTAGGTTTGCCATGAAATACCCGTGTAGTTCTGGAGACAGTCCAAGAATGAGCTCATTCTTACAAGCCAGGTGGTACCTGAGCCTCAGCAACTGGTGTTCACGCTCACAGCCGTCCCCTTCTCCACTCCCATCCCTGTCTCCAGTGCAACAGGTGATCGAGAACCACATCCTCAAGCTCTTCCAGAGCAACCTCGTGCCCGCCGACCCCGAGTGAAGGCTGCCACAGGGACTCAGACACTCAGGGATCAGAAGAGTCGACCCAGAGCTGGGGCAACCCAGAACTGGCTTCAGAGGCAGCTCCTGCTTCCCAGTCACGGGGAGACGCTCGGGGCAGTGGTGGGAAGGAACTGTCCCGAGAGGAACCAATAAAACTTCTGTGCAGAACTCCAGACACACCACTCTGCTTCCCTGAGGGCTTCCCCTGGAGAAGGCAGCCTCACACCTTCTCCCCCAGAACCCGCAGGTGGTAGATGACCACACGGCCAAAAAAGTCAGCCATGTCTTCGAAGGTCACCTTTAGCCGGTCCACCTCAGTGGCTGGTACAGGGAAGGTGTAAGAACAGGCAGTCAAGGGAAACATGGATCTCCCAGTTGCCCACCTCCCTCCCAACTCAGGGCTGAGCTGAGGCACCACCACCATGATGAGCTCTTGGGGCCCCCCCTTAACCTCACAAAGAGCAGGCTTCCATTGGCCCCACTTCACAGAGGAAGCAGTGTAAACCTAGCCCCCTGCGGGGTTCTCTCCCATGTCTGGGTGGGTTTTCATCTCTTATAGGATATCTGAAGGGAGTTGTTGTCCGCAGGATAAAAGTCCACAATCCTGCAAAGGCCTTCACTCCCCTTTGAGCCTGCAGCAGAGAAGAGGAGACTGTAAAGAAGGGGAGACACAACTCACCCACCTGCGCCCCCCTCCTGTGTCCAAGGATCTCCCAGTACCTTCCAGGCGGCCCCTGTGACTTGAAAAGCCCCCCTGGAACTGGATCTGCAGCTGGGAGATGCGGACGCACTGGGGAAACTCAAGCATCACCCACTGGCATGGGCCCTAGAAGCAGATTGGAAAACTGAGATCCATACTACCCTATATGAACTACTGTTTTTATTACGTACTTTTGAGACAGAATAGACTCATAGTTGACCCTCCAGCAGGTTTCACTTGGGAAAAGACTGCCCATCTTTCTCCCACGGAGCACCTGGTGGAGTGAACCCCCTGCCTTTAAGTTGGCAATATGACTCATTACCACTAGGCGAGAACTTTCTCTGTGTAAGCTAGCGAGACCCATGTCTCACCCACCAAATCTACCTGAACAGTGGACACTGGGGCACTAGGAGTTCTCTAGGCACCCAGGGTCTGATTCAGACTGGGGTTTAGGAAGCCACCTTACCTGGTCCGAGTTCCAGCAGGTCTCTTCGTCCTGGTCGAAAAGGTGCTTTTTCCCAAACTGCCTGGTGTTACGATGCAGCACAGAGCTGACCCTGAAGGCACCAGGGTCAGAGAAGAATAGAGTCACACTCTAGATCCCTAACACCCCCCCACATACCCCCCCCCCCGTCTCCCAGGTCTCCCCACATGGGGGGTGGGCCTCGCTCAAGACTCACCTGCTCACGGTTTCCGGACAGACCAAAGAGTGGGTCATCGTGACTCCACCAGGCTACGCAGGGCTCAGACCGCCAAGCGCTCAGCTGTGGTCCGGGGCCAGACTCCCTCCCGCTCCCCGCAGGTCCTAAAGGTCGCTTTTATCATCCAGTAGCCAGAAAAACTGGGTGACTCAGAAACAGCAGGCCTTTCAAGCTGGTGCAAAAAAACCCGGAAAACCCAGGTTTCCACTGGCTTCCGAGATTTCCCCTTCTTCCGGAGCCTCAGTTTACTTGCACGCAGCGCCGGAATTCAAAGGCTGCAACCCGGAACCGCGTGGAAGCAGCACCGGCGTCGCGAGACGCACGGCCCCGCCCACTTAGTGCCTTGGAGGCGGGGCCTGGTATTATCCTGCCCCTCGCTGTCCGCCTCTTAAAGGGCTACTGACTAGTTGTCCCTGGAGCTGAAAAAGGAAAAAAAGACGTCAAATCCCGAAAGCAATTGAGTTCCCACTACGTGCGACGCGAGGCAGACGGCAAGGGTTCCTCTGAATCCATTCCCAAGTCACTAATGTAGCCTGCAATCTCCTATACTTCGCAGCCGCACGGTGTTGGAGTACAAAGAGTCTTCATTGACCCCTCTTGTTTCATGGTGACAGGGGAGACCGAACCTCCAAATCTGTCTTCCCACAAAAACCTACGGTCCTGATTGAACCCTCTAACGGATCTCTGAGGCTGTACAACTTTATGAGAGAAAGATGGGCAATCTCCTATGTGATCTACAACCTATGAAAGCCTGCTGGATGGTCAGCTATGAGTTCTGATTCAGCACACATTCTCCCAAGGATTGGAAATGTCAGCGTTTTAGTTAGCAGCAGCATACATTAGCCAGTGCTCCATCGCAGTTTCTTTTCTCTCTCTCCATTGTCTTCTAATCAGAACAGATTCATAACTGACCCTCCATTGGGTTTCCTGTGCTGTAAAGCACTCTGGAGAAGATCGCTCTTCTTTTTCTAGTAGATTCAAAATGCCTTTGGGTTAAGTAGTAAAACTCCCTGCAGACTAAGAACCAACAGAGCTCCGTACAGGGTTCCTTGTTAGATATGTGCTTCCTGGTCAACAGCCACTCATAGCAACCTTATGAACAATAGAGTGTTTACTTTATCCTGTGCCATCATCAAGTCTCTGCCATGTTCAAGCTCATTGTTGCGTTGTACCTATCTATCCTGTTAAAGATCTTCTCTCTAACCTTTCCCAACATAATGTGTTTTCCAAGAACTGCCCCACTCCTGGCAACATGCCCAAAGTGTGTGAGACAGTTTAACCAACCTTGCCTCTATAGTGCACCCTCATTGCACTTCTTCCAAGAAAGGCTTTGTTCTTTTGACAGTGCATAGGATATTCAGTACTCTTCGACAAACCCACAATTCAAAGGCATTGATTCTTCTGCCATCCTTATTCACTGTTCAACTTTCAAAAGCATAAGAAGCAATTGAAAATGTCATGGGCTGTTCCAGGCACAATTTAGTCTTTAAGTTGACATAATGGCTCTTCGGCACTTTGGAGAAATTTTTTGACAGATTTTCTCAATGTAAACTTTTTTTTTTCTTTTTAGAAATTTTATACTTGTTTATTTACAAAGTTTGAATATATTATTTTTCACAACAAATCTTTCCCATTTCCTTCACCACCCCACCTGCTACCCACTTTCACCTCATACTCATTCTACAATAATGTTTTTATACAGTGTTTATTCATATGGGACTGAGTTAGTTCACTCAGCATAATGCTCTTCAATCACTCCCAAGTAGTAATTTACAAAATCATTGCTCCTATGTGCAGCATAGTATTCCATTGTGTGGATGTACCATAATTTCTCAATCCATTCAATTGTGGTTGGACATCTGGGCTGTTTCCATGCACTTGTGATGGTGAATAATGCTACTATGAACTTTGGTGTACAAGTCTCTGTACCTCAGTTCTCATTTTCTAGGGGTTTATTCCAAGCAGTGGAATAGCTGGATCGTATGAAATTTTTATGTTCAGCATTTTGCAGAAGGGCCAGACTACCTTCCAGAGTAGATTGTTGCTACCATGTCTGTTGGTTATGGATTCAAGTAAAATGAAATCATTGATAACTTCAATCTTCTCCATCTATCATTTTGTCTGTTGGTTCAGTGGTAAGGATTTTTGTTTTCTTGATTTTGAGATGTAATCTATGTTGAAGGCTAAAGGTTTTTTATTGATCAGTTTTTCACTTCAAAAGTTGGTAGACTCTACAACCAGGAGAAGATAAAATAGATGAATGGGACCTTCTAAGAATCAAATCCCTATGCACATCCAAAAACTTCTACAACAGCGTAAAAAGGGAAGCCACAGACTGGGAAAAAGTATTTGGTAATGACATGTCAGATAAGGGACTTATACCAGAATTTATAAAATACTTGAGCACCACAACAAGATAAAGGTGAATAATCCAATAGAAAAATGGGCACAGGATATGAACAGACACTTCACCAAAGAAGACATTCAGATGGCCAACAAGCACATGAAGAAATGTTCAAAATCCCTAGCTCTAAGAGAGACGCAAATCAAAACAACTGTGAGATATCATCTCACCCCAGTCAGAATAGCAAAATTTAACAGAACAGCAAGCAACAAATGCTGGCGAGGTTGTGGAGAAACTGGAACCTTTATTCACTGTTGGTGGGAGTGTCAAATGGTGCAACCACTGTGGAAGGTGGTATGGCACTTTCTCAAAAAGTTGCAAATAGAGATACCATTTGACCCAGCAATTCCACTACTGGGAATATATCCCAAAGAGACCATAACTGACATCCAAGCAGATATATGCACACCCATGTTTACTGCGGCTCTGTTCACAATAGCAAGAAATTGGAAACAACCCAGGTGCCCATCACCAAACGAATGGATAGAGAAGCTGTGGTATATTCACACAATGGAATGCTATGCTGCATTGACGAACAAGGAACTCATGCAATATTATTCAAAATGGGTGAGTCTGGAGGACATTATGCTGAGTGAAATATCTCAGTCACAAAAGGACAAATATTGCATGGCACCACTGTTGTAAAATAGGATTGCTATCAGGGTTGGGGTAAGACTGAGAAAAACTGGATAAATTGTGTATATTGCACTGAAATGAGGGAGTGAATAATTTAAAAGCGATGTACGATAGGGTATTATGGTTATCACAAGAGTCCACAGTTAGGGGAGCTCTGGTGGCCTAGTGGCAAGAAGTTGTACTGCAATCCCAAAGGTACACGGTTCGAATCCACCAGATGCTCTGCTGGAGAAGGAGGGACAATTTCCTCCTGTACCAGTCAGATCTGATTTGACAGTACATGCAAAAAAAAAAATTTAAAAAAAAAAGAGAGTCCACAATTAAGGTTGCATAGTGGAATGTACTTGGGGCTGTGGGAGGGGTGTGGAGGGATTTGTGTACCAGGGAGGGAGTCTTTCTTTTACTTTTGAAAGAGAGGAGCGAACCGGGGGGGGGGGGGGGGGTAGGGCTGGGCGGGGAGAGAAGTGCAGCAATGAATGAATGTAAATCCAAAATCTCTGTAAATGCTCATTAAGATTATATTTTAAAAAGTTGGTAGACATCATCTATTTCCTCCTCTTCGGCTCTAGTTGGTGTATATATTTGAATGACAGTGGTATTAACTAGGCTTCCTTGTATGCTTATAGATATTATCACTCACAACATTGTGTTTCAAGATCATCTAGAAATGACCTTTTAAAAAAAATTTTATTGTATTATTCTTACGTGTACCATCAAATCAGATCTGACTGGTACAGAAGGAGATTGCCCCCTCCTTCTCCAGCAGAGCATCTGGTGGATTTGAACCGCATACCTAGGGGATTGTAGTGCAGAGTCTTGCCACTAGGCCGCCAGAGCTCCCTAGAAATGACCTTTTAAACTATGAATGTGACCCTGTTCTTCCTCACCTTTTCATTTCCAGAGTAGTAGATCAGATGCTTGACTCACAATGTACTATGCCAATCCATCTCATTTTGCCAGTACCTAGTAAGTGAATGACTCAATAGAGTGTGGAAATTATCAAATAATATTACTTATATAACATACAAACAAAATCTTGCTGAAGATTATCCAAAACTGACCGGAATAGCACATCAATAGAGAACTACCAGAAATATAGGCTGGGTTTAGAAGAGGTTGTGGAATCAGAGACATTATCACCAATATCAGATGTATCTTGGCTGAAAGCAAAGAGTACCAGAGAAATGTCTGTGTTTCACTGATTATGCAAAGGCATTTGACTGTGTGGATCACAACAAATTGTGGCTAACCTTGAAAAAATGCAAATCTCAGAACACCTGATTGTGCTCATGCGAAACCTGTACTTGGACCAGGAAGTAGTTGTTGGAACAGAGCAAGGAAACACTACATGATTCCAAATCAGGAAAGGAGTGTGTTAGGGATGTATCTTGTCTCCAACTTTTTCAATCTATATGCAAAACAGATCATTTGGGAGGCTAGACTTTATGAGGAGGAATGCACCATCAGGATTGGAGGAATACTCATCAATAACCTACGTTATACAGATGACCCAACCTTGTTTGCCAAAACTAAGGAGGACTTGAAGTGTTTGCTGAAGAAGGTCAAGGACTTAGTCTTCAATACGGATTGAAGCTCAACATCAATACAGATTGTCACCTCTGAGCTACTTGGAAGCACCATAATAGATAGAGACTGAGATTGTCAACCATTTCAGATTGCTTGGCTCCACAATAAACACTCTTGGTACCAGCAGTCAAGAAATCAAAAGACGTAAACAACAAGAACAAGGGGGGAAAAGAAAAGAAAAGAAATAAAAAGATGAATTGCACTAGGGAAAGCTGCTGTCAGGGGCCTCTCCAAAGTGCTAAACAGCAACAGTGTCAATCTGGAGACCAAGGTGTACCTGATTCAGGCCATAGTTTTTGCAATTACTTGCTTTGCATCAGAGGGCTGAACAATAACTAAAGATGATAGAAGAAGAATTGATGCCTTTGAGCTGTGGTGCTGAAAAAGAGT